CTTTTTCCATTCGTAAAATTCGCCCTCGTCCACCGCGTTGTAAGGCTTTGAATTTTATTTTTATTTAGTAAATTTCTAAATAAATTCCGTGGAATAGCTTCATCTTAATAATACTTACAGCATGGTGGAAATTTATGACATTTTCTTCTGCGATGCAATTTTTTAGGGCAGCTTTTACCATTTCCTCTAGGTTGTACCTAAATCATTTAAACGAAATTAAGTTGCATTTATTGTGGTAAACTCAATCATAAGATACAAGGTATAAAAGTAATGCAATGCCACGAAAAAAAGAAAAATATTGAATATTTATTTTCCCTGCTTTCTTTTGACTAAAAAAAATTATTTACCATAATCTCTCTTGTACTGACTGTGATATCGTGACATCCAGTACATTTCGACCAGTTATTCCATTCAGATACTTGACAGTCGATGTCTTTAACACTATCAGGTGATTCCATCACTTGACTGTCTGGTTGTATGCCTTTGAATTCTAAACTTTCTGCAAGAACGTGTTACACATTATATATTATTTTACAAAAAATTATTTTAAAAAGTTTTAAGTAATTTGATCATTCAGGTTTAAATTAATTCAGGTTCAATTAAATTATTTGAGAATTCGTAACATAAAAATGAAATACTTATCGCTACTTTTTGTTCTAAATCTTTTTAATTCCTTCAAATTTTGGTTTATAATTACTATTTTCAAATTTATTATGTTAAAATGAACAAATCACTAAAAAACATATATTAGTAGATACGTTTTATCTAGAATTACTTCTTTTCCTACATAGCGAGCAGTAAATGCAATAAAAAATTAAATAAGAAATACCAAGGATCAATTGAATTACACAATATAATTATACTTTTCTATTTTTTCGACAGTATTCACTATAATTAAAGAGACTCGATATTTATTTTGCAGAATGAAATAGTGCAAATTGCTAACTAGCGTCACCATGGTGAGCTCGTTTTGTCTTCGTGCTGCGTTGCTCCTGTGCAGGTATGTGATAGCTGAGAACGCTGCTGAGAGACACCTTATAGTTTTTCATCATAGTCGACAAGTTTGTCCTTAACTCTCCTGTTTGTTTTACAAGCAAGCGTGCACAGAATAAGGGCGAAGTTAAAAGCACAAGTCTTGATGCTCAAACGATAGTTTACGATTTTGAGGCTAAGAGATTTTGAACGAATGCATTGAAATAGTGGAACTTCTCAAGAATTAGACATTATTGAATTTTGATAAATAGAGAATTTTCGGAAGATTGTGTTATTGTGTTATTCTTATAGGACTTATTAGAACTTCTGAAAAGTTGCGTGAATCTTATCACACATTTTGCAAATATCTTAGATTTCTTCAAAATTGCGACATCTCTAATATTAATTACATATTTGCACAATGTTGCTTGACATTAATTTGTGAAATCGTGTAATACAATTAAAGCTGCAGTCTAATTAAATCTGTCCTTGTAAGACTAAATTACTGTTTGAAAAGTAAATTTAGTAAATATTTTATGATAGTTATGCATTTACCATTTCTGTTTAGCAGTATCAAATTTTTTACTTCATTGTTATTTACAGTTACATGTTTGTACAGTTAAAGATCTTTATAAATTTGTAGAAAGTCTTTTCATGGATAATTTCTAATTTATTAGCATTGGATAATAAAAGAAAATAATCATTTTTTATCCAAATTAAAACGGTGAAAAATATTGAAATTATAATGTAGAACTTACTCTGAAAGTCACCGCAAACATTTATGCAATCTTGTTCAGTTTGAAAATTATTTCGGTTCCCATTGCAGCCAGAATAACTAAATAAACGACAACGACCTGCTTGTTTGTCGAAATACGCGCGTAAAATGTTACCTTTGCAATCTCCTTTCGTCATCGGTTCACTGCAGATCTCTGTAATCAATTCATTATCTTGTTAATTTTCTTTTCTCTATTCCTTGAAATACGGAAGTAAATATCATTGTAAATTTTGATTATCAATAATATTCATTGTTGCACAGAATATCTATCTGCGTAGAATTCAGTTGTACGAAATTAAACAGACGTATAATAAATCCGTATTTGTGAACAGGAAAAATAAGGTGATCAAAACTATCTTCACCTTATTGATGATTATCTTTGATCAGCTATATCACTATTAAGACATTAATATGACTTCGGTAACAATTTTTATGTAAATCATTTATTTTGTACCAAGCTGTCACTCGAAACGTTTTAAGAAAAATATACGGGCGCCTAATTATGGAAAAAAACATTAATATAATAAAATGCTTAAATCTAATAAATAAATCAAATTCATACGAGGAATCATGATAAAATGTACAATAGCAGTGCAAGTTTAAATTGTTCTTGAAAAATGATAATGTACATTTTCCATCTTTGAACATATTCGAAAAACAAGTTTTTTCGTTTAGATTTGATTTCTGTAAGATAATAATAAAATCAAATTTGATTATTTTTATGTAGCATGGAAAAATAGAAATTGGTTGAAATGATTTTTTACAAAATTCTTTTTAATGTTGTTGGAATTTCCATTTGTACGAAAGTACAATGTGATAAAAACGATCGATACTTATAGAACAACCTTGTAATTACGAGGTTAAACACCATCTCCAGTTTCATAAAGTCGTGATAGAAATTAACTGCGGTGTACCGTGCCGCTTAATTGCAGTAGCTGTAGGTGTTAGTACCTCAAGTTTATATTCTGAGATTATGAGCTGCTGTTGCCAAGTATATAAGAGGGCTGATATAATTTTAAGGAAACAATCGAAACCTTGATGAAGTGGTTCAAATCCGACGACGAATTGGTAGACACAGTTACAATGGGAATTAAGAGATTTTACATTCATTTTCTTTGTTAATAAGAAACGCCTTGTTATTTTTGAAGGGACGTAATAAGTTCGTTTGTTCAGAATATTGGTCCTCCTGTGACAGTGGTTATATAAATTTATGATTCTTTGTGCTGTTTGCATCTCAACTATTTTTAAGTAATATTTTTGAAGAAATAAATAAAAAAAAGTATATATGTATACATACAAGGCTATTTCTATGATTAATTTTTAGAAACACTTTGTGTGGTTGTTGAATATAATTAAAGGGGGACGCTATTTCAAACGAAAGGTTCGACACTATGTTCTTTCTATCTCACTATAAATAACTATCGCGCGTGCGCAGTACGCTAGAAGCGCCGCTCTAGTGGCGAATATAACAAACACTCAACACTTTGAATAAGAAAAATTATAATTTCAATATTTACTACAAGAAAAGAATAGGTTGCATTCATTGAGGCGGAGTGCCTTAATTTATACAAAATTTGAGGTAATTTGTTATTAAATTTCTTCTGTATATGTACATATTAAATGCTTGAATTCCTCTCTGCAATTTCATTTTCTGACAATAAAAATACAACGAAGTAAGAATGTTGTTCAATAGTTTTGTTGCAATTATTATGAAATTAGTATTACAATTCATAGATAGTTAAAAAGTTGTGTAAAAATTTGAAATTAATATGCTTGCTTTATAATGAAACATTATTCATTGGTAATTTTCTCGACTTACTTTCTGCCTCCTCTCTCGTGAAATCACACGTTGGAATATTGGCTACGCAAGCAGTGTCACCTATGCTGCTCCAGTTCTTTATTACGAGTCTTGATCTTAATTGAACACCAGGTCCGCAACTGGAGCTGCAGGGAGACCATAGGGACCACTGGGTGTAATGATTCTCAGGACACTTCTAATCAACGAATAAACAGGATAAAACATGTTAGATTTTTTATTTTATAATACCTAACCTAACCTATAATTTCTAAGTACTTAACCCTTTGCATATGATTTACTTAATTTGATATATTTTTAGTGTCACTGTGTATATTCACGACAAGCTTTTCTTCCAAATCTTTGAAATTTTGAAGATTTTTATATTAATAATTAATTAAACTCGCTTTTTAAAATCAGTAATTTTATACGTGCATTTATATGGAAACGTTTATAATATAATATAAAATTGTATTACATCTAATAAGAAATGTAATATGCAAAGGGCTATGATATGAATTATTTCAAAATTAATTGTTATTAATATTTTCAATCGTATTCTGTTATTCTTTTTTTTTAAATATCGCTGTATTTGTTATGGCGAAGAAAAAAGAATAGCCAGTAACTACACGTATACTCTAGAAAAAGACATGTACAAATTAAATGATGTCACATATGTACGATGGATGTTAGTCGATCGCATTTATTGCAATAAAATTACATGTTACATGTGTGACAGAATATATTTAAGAAATGAAGTTATTATGTGAAATTGTGAAGTGATCAATATAAAGCGATCGCAATTTATTTTTAATTGATTTGTCGTGCTGAGTGAGCAGAAGGAAAATTAAAATTTATCACCGAAAGATTACTCTAATGTTCTACAGTAATTTTCGTTTCTTTATATTAAGAAAAAAGCTAAATACTAATAAAAAGCAAATGTATAAATCGAAAGTAACAGTGCTAACAATAATGACGCAAATCACAGCAAATTGAGAAATAAAAACATTGGGGAAAACGGCAGGAAAAGAAAAAGAAATATAAAATAATACTTATCGTTGAAAATATTCAAAGAACGATATTTTGTTTACAGTACAAGGGAGAATTTTACTTGTTGCTTCTGACTCACTCGTACCTCGTATTACTGGATGGTCGATTTCACTTTTCTCGCGAGTAAATCGCCCGACTTACGTGAGGATGCCAGTACCATGGATGGATCTGCGAGAAATGGTGCAGGTATGGTTTATAGTTACTCGCGCATGGAACGATTATTCTGAACAATTCGACATTCGTTAGTGATGATTTGAACATCATATAAGTTATTATTAAAAATAGAAATGATTCTTTTATTATTATTATGATGATTGAGTTTCGACAATTGGTTAATAATTTTTGTGAACGACAACAAATGAGTATTTTCGTTATTCGATATTATTGATGATCATGCGAGGGAGTAGAACAATTTAACATTTGTTCTTTTTTTTTTTCTTTTCTTATATAAAATTAAATTCTAGGAAACTGTTGGATTATTGTTAATTTTGTTACCAACAGAGGGTAACACTATTCTAGCGAATAGTATCGTAGTTGTAAAGAGAAGATTTCTTGTTACGGTGGTATTATTTATAGAGCACTTTTTACCAGAGGAGTATCAACGAGAAACATTCGGTTGATATTTTATAATTGGTCGAATAATTAATATCTAATTTATTTGCTCTTATTGTAAACGATTTTTCGATAAATAACTAATACACTAGCTCAAAAGTGAAGTTTAAAAAAATTTATACATTGTTTTACTCCCCACATCATGATATATTTTTACTGTTTCTCTTTGCTTCTTTAAGAATTCATTCAAATCAGAAACAATATATTGCCTCTTGTATTCACAATGAATACGGTTTTACGAGATAAGATATTTAAATAAGCAAACAATATTTGCAGCTAATTTCTAAGAGTTAAGATAAATTGTTAAAAATGAGATTTCATTCTATTTCTCACCCGCTCGATAAGCCAACAACCTCATGGGCAAACATTTATCGTTGCTGAAGTGCACGCGTCTCGCGACGTTTTGCGCTAGTTAGCCGGCGTGTTACGCGGCAATTAGTAAGTTCTTGCAAACTATCAGTGGTTCTGTACCTGCAGCCATTCCTCGGTTACCTCCACCGCCGGTTCCTCCCCTTCATAATCCTCTCCGTCACCATTGTCCTGATTGCTATCATTCACCTCCTCCTCCTCCTCCTCCTCCTCCTCCTCCTCCTCCTCCTTCTCTCCATACGGAACGTTCTCGCATTTGACCGTCTGCTGAAGTTCCGGCCCGTCGGGTATGAGTTTGCACTGTTTACGGTGTTTCTTCTCTCGGAAGTTCCGAGATCTGGTCATGTGCCCTAGACCGCAGGTCGTTGTACACGAGCTCCAGTCACCCCATTCGGTCAGGGCGCACATCTCCGAGTCTGCTAGACTAGCGTACCGTGATTCTTTGCTGCTGTAAAAAGGAAAATGTATTATACGTGGTAGAAGAGCTACAGCGAGGATCAAAGATTAACCCGTTAACGCTCGTGCCCGTTAACGCTCGTGCCCGTGTCACACACGTGCACAACTAATCCGTCCATAAGTGGATAATTTTGTAAAATTATGTATTTTCTTTCAATTTTCATATTGCGGTATCTTTTCTGTTACGGCAAAAATATCAATTACACAGCATTGTAAATAATGGGAAATTCATTGCTATACGACTAGGAAACGATTAAAAAATAAACAAAATTGATGATTTTTTGGCGCATCAAGTTGAGAAAAATGTGAACGTTAAGGGGTTGATGTACATATTATGAGGCTTCCGGGTGTAAGCAGTGTTCTTATGGATAAAATATGTATTCGTACGTTCCGCAAGCATTGTAGCTCGCTTCGTCAAGGTTCGAATGACACGCTGATATTGACGTTACTATAACGATAGTCATTATCTGTAGCGGTAGTTATCTGTCGAACCCTTTTGAAACTCTGCATGTAATGTAGGTACGTGTAATAACACGTACATGTTATACTTCTGACAGGTCTGACTACTGGTTGATTTGTACTACTTACTGATTTCCTATTTTTCCAATTATTGACTAAATTGTTGATGCTATAGAGATATTCTTTTGCGACAAAGTTTACGGAAAGAAAGGGGAAAAAACGAGTTCTCTGCTTTCGTAGGTTTAAATCTTCTCCTTGAATAAAAATTATTTTTCAATTTTCGGTCATTTATCTAAATTTGTTCTTGTAACCTGAATCGACGAAGAAAAATAGGAAATCAAGGTAACAAGTGAAAATTTGAAACTGTTCATACAATTAAATTTCTAGGGAGCTTATTGCACAAGTAAAAAAAAAAGAAGAATAAATAAAAGTTCCGTTTCGATAATGTACACGTCTAACTATACTCTTACAAAGAAATAAGAAAAAACAGTATTTGAGTTCAAATCTCATTTTTCTCCTCTTTTATACACACAAACGAACCCAACGTTCACTGCTACTTGTTCTGTGGTGTTTCCACCACTTGTCACCTGGTTATTTTTATTAAATCATAGCAATTACCAGTGAAGACTTTTTCCATAACACGTTTGCCTGTCAGACAGCGTGACGTTGCACTTGTGCAGCGTCGCAGCAGCTTCGTCCCGATAATGTCTTTGTCTTAGCTGGGTGCCACGACCGCACGTCACGGAACAAGGGTTCCAAGGACCCCATGGTTTCACTCTGCAGGCTTCTGCGTACGTTAGAAATTATATTGCTCGTCAACGTCAACTCTAGAAAGCGATGTGTTTGCGTTCTCGTTGCACGAAAGCTTCTAAATAAGGATCTCACGGTAAGACTACCCCGAACACTGTTTTAGAAATTTTGTTAACATATTTTTAGGCAATTTCTATTCAAAAATCACTCTGAACACATTTCTAGGTAATTTAGCTTTTTTTTTTCATATTCGAATGCGTGTTGTTGTAGTAAATATACGGGGTGGCTCTGAATTGACGGTGAAAGGAAATTTGAAAAGGGGTGAATTTACGTGAAAAAATAATGTCGATGTTGAAAATACGTCGGATAATTAATTTCGTCGTATTCGTGTTAATTGGTATTGTTTAAAATTTGAATAAAACTTCAAGCAGTATTAAACGGAAAATTAAACATTTTTAACAAATTGTTTTGTGTAGATTTGTATTTTCATGTTTGTTATTGCGAATGATATATATCTGTCTTTCTCTCTCTATTCAATTTCTAATTAAGTGATCACCATTTTCTTTGATAGTATATTTCAGTAATTACGTAGTGGAATAGTTTATTAAAAAGTATTTGTCCGAATTGTAAATTTATATAATCCCTTTCTGGTATTATCGAAAAATCTACAATTGGTATAAAACGAATTCAGTTCTGCAGATGATTAGGAGGAATATTTATTATTATAAGAGAAGAATTTTTATTTTTACAAAGCAAATGAACGAATATTTTTCTACTGCAATTTCAAAGCAGCATTGAATCGTACAACGGGAAAAAGAATATGCAATTTGAAACTTTTGTCGTGTTGAAAGTCTTAGTGAAATTAATAATTTATTAACAATTGATTATTGTAGTAATTCCGAGACACACAGTGCAAAATATAATAAAAATGCAAAGAAAAGGTAAATAAAAAAAAATTTCTACTGCATCTATATATTACACAATAATATTTACGTTTACAAATCAGTAATGAAAATCGTAAGTAATTTTAATTTACATTGTTTAGAAGTGTAATTAAGTAAATATAATTAGGATGTCTATTGTAGAACTTGGGAAGAATAATAATCGACAGATTTAATTAATTTATTAATAATTAAAATTATTAATAGAAGTTCCGTTTGACGATGATAAATCGACAGGGGAGGAACTTTTGAATTATTATCGTGATATGAAATTTCATTAAATCGATCTCTTTCAAGTATTCACAGGAATTACTTACGATTCGCTCATATTGATTTTCAATAAATAAACAGGCATACTAAAACGAGACTTTATCAAATCTTCATTACCTCCATTTTCTCAGAAATCGTCAGCTTGAACATTTCTAACAGTAATTAAGCAAACAGACCACGACACAGAGACCATAGATGTAGTCACACTTTTTCAAGCTTTTATTTCTCTCAAATATAAGTACATTCTTTAAATAAATATAGTTTCAACCCATTTGGGACCAAGTACATTCAAATAAATTTATCAACGTGAAATTGATATTTTGCCTGAGTTCATTTCAACTGAGAACTGTCATGTTCTCGTCGATGATTCCAAATGGGTTAATTTAAATACCAAACGTGTTCTCCAAATCAGCACGAAAATTCATAAAGTCATATTAATCCTTCCACCGCTGTTGGCGCCTATAGGCGTTTCGAATATTTTCTCGCACCGTGCCCTTGGCGCCTATAGGCGTTTCGAATATTTTTTTGCACTGCGCTGTTGGCGATTATTTGGCACACTTTCACCTCAATTTAATCCATAATTTTCCCCATTTTCGCACTTCCATCTTAATTTGAAAAATAATAAATTTTAAAATTTTAAAACACCCAAAACAAAAGATCAAAACCTACCGTAGCGAAAGGGTTAACATTAATTTGAAGTAATGTTATATCATTTTTTTTATAGAAAGAAACTGTTGCAGAATTTATCTTCAGGCGGTACATAGTCTCTATAGTCGTGATCAGAAAATAAAAAGAACTAATACAGAAGCAATACTTGCTGTTTTTGCGATTACTGCTAGTTGGTGGCGTTGCACCTGTGTCAACTGCATCTCCTGGCGCACCCTCGCAAGCTTTCTCGTAAAGTCTTTGACGGTTCAAGTAAAGCCTGGCGAGGGGTTTCATGTCCAAACCGGATGGGTCGTAGAATGGAGATCTTGAATCATTTGGATAGGTCGAAGTTATCCGACGAATCGGTTCTTGTGGATCGCTTGGAGAATCTGGTGACTGCGAACGCAACAAAATTTCATTCACTTGTATAAACGAACGAAATTTATCGAGATTCGTATAAAGTGTATTTTGCATTGTACAAAATATAAAAATTTTATAAAAAAGTAATATGCAAAATTAGTGTAATAAATTCAATTCGATCGGAGGGGAAAGCCTCAAGGTGAATAAATTAAGATTCCACTGGAAGCAATTGATTGAAAAGGAGATATAAATTAAATTAGGATCAATCGTTTAGGAAGAATCTGTCTTTTAGGATTTCAATTGAATTTCACACTTCAATACTACACTTACAATAGGGTGTATAAAACAGAAAACCTAAGAAAAAGAAAGGAAACGCGATAAAATTCGTTAGAATTCAAATGAACTTATTAATTAGTATTCGATTATTTTTCCATTGCTGGCACATCATTTCTCTCAGTTGTTCCATTATTTACCTTCCGCTTCTTCTTTATTACACATCACTTCACGGTAGTTGTAGACATTTAGATTCATGTTCGCGTGTTACAGGAGCGCAAAAGCGACGCGTTTCCCGAGAACCGTAAAAGTGGTGGCGTCACGAAGCGACGCGACGGGGGAAATTCCCGGTCGGCCGGAAAAGCGTCGAGGGCACGTTTACTTCGACGCCGTCAGCGATTTTCAGACGATCCGTAGCCCCATTGTCAATTGTTAGACTGCGAGGCCTGCTGTCGAATTTATTATGCGATTTTCTGCGGCCGACAGCTGACGTTCATTTCGCCCACCCAAACGAATCTTTTCTGCCCCGCGACGAGAAATACAATGGTTGAACTGTTCCTTTTTTTCTTCTTCTTCTTTATCTTTCACCCGCCCAAACGGAAAACTCCCTTTTCCGGCACCTTCGAACCCATTTCTTTTCACCTGCCATTTGCAATTTTTCATCGATTCTCGTTCATTTCGAAAGTGAAGTACCGTGAACATTTTCAACGACGAAGTCATTTATTTAGTACGATTCGGATGAAAATTTACAATTATTTGACGCGTATACATTGTACGTACTGGCCAACAAATTACCGAACTACGCCAACCAAGTGAGAAGGTAGAAAAATGTAGCAATGATAACTAAACTTGCGCGATTAAATAATTATTCAGTTAATTAGAAGGAAAGAGGAAGTTTCATGGAACTTCGTTCGTTCTGAACAGATTGCAAATAATTTACCGAATAAAAAAAGTAATACATTGTGTTCGACATTTTATACGCAATGTACTTGTTTTCTGTTTACCGGGGATGATAATACCGAATGTTATTTACAATTATTCTTATAATTATAAATTATTCTTTTCTTCAATTTTGCGAGTTTTATTGTACTTCATGCCTTTAAAATTTCTTTCTTTTTCTAGAATATTCTTATTCTTACAATCATATTACTATTGTTATCATTGTATCATTCTTTACAACGAATTAGGTCATCGCACGAGAAAAAAGGTTCAACAGTATCCGAGTGGAAATTGACGTTCACGATCGGTAAAGAAATTAGTAAAAAAAAAGCGGGAAAATTTCGAGTACAGTAAATTTAGAAAATAAAAAACAAATTCTGCTTACCAAATACGTGATTCCGTCATCGGTGCCCGCATCGTAAGGGTACAAATTCAGTTCTTTGTGTTCGATCCACGAGCAATTACCCAGGCACAGTTCCAAACCTGAAACTCCGACAATCCAGTCCGGCGAAGGATCTGTAAAATGATTTTTCTTTTTACATCGTACACTTGAGTTGAATCGGTTGAAAGAAATTTCATCGAGCGATTATAATTTCGCGAACTTTAGATTAAAGCACGTAGCGCTCTTAAAACTTTTAGGAACTTTCCCGTTTAATAATATCATCGAATTTTCACGTAATGAAGAGACGTTCCGCTTCGACGTTTTTTTGTTTTTTAATTTTATTACAGATTTGCGAATTTCAATCTTATCCCTAAATTTTACTAGCTAGATTTCATCGTTTGCAAGAATAAACTAGACACGTTATAAATCCAATTAGACGAGGATTTTAATGAAACTTCGCTGAATTATTCCATAGAGTTCAATCTGAAAACTGCTACTTTTCGATTTTAAGAGAGAAAAAATGAGGAGACGAGGCTAGGCACAAGTGTCGCTTTAAATTAATTAATTAAATTCAGTTTGAAAGAAATATACTTCTTCTATGTAGATGCACTCTTACCAATCATAGAAACCAACGACATGAGATGGTGTTTACGGTCAACACGGAAAACTGCGAAAGTTTTCCCAGTAACGTTAGGATAACTTATTCCTCTGGCTTTGATTATGGTCCTGATATGCTCGCTCTAGAGAAAATGAAACATTTTTACGTCAATGTTTATCGTTTACTATTAATACCAATATGTAATTTAATAAATTAAATATTTGACTGAAAGTTAATTCTAATATCTTTCCTCGTTCGATATTACCAACTCTCCTTTACAAATCGTTCAGTTCAGAATAAAATGATACAGAATAAAATTGAAAAAATAAATTTACTATTAATACCAATGTGAAAGCAATTCGTTCGATCTAAGATTTACGTTAATTTAATAAATTAATTTAACGAAGCTAAGCTGATAAATATTAGACGGAAAATGATACAGATTTGCAATTTACAATTGTCAGAATTGAAGAAACAAATTTGTATTCTAATAAGATTATTTACTTGATCTTTTAATTCTGATTCCAATTTCCTGGTCGATCCAAGTTCAGCCACTTGTCGCAAACCTGTGCTCGCAATACCATTGTATTTCCAAAATCTGTAATCTACCGTATGCGAAGCTCCGATCACGTCTGAAAATCGAATCAACCATCCTTTGCTAGGGAAATCCTGTAAGAACGTAAGAAAGTAGTAGTTTGTTAGGAGAAACACTTGTGAAACACGAATGTTGGAACTTCGAAGGAAAAGATTTGAGATTCTACATTTAAATGCTAAACACACGAATCTTACACGTAATCGAAACTACTTATCTAAATTTCACCAAATATCGGAAATCGTTAAAACGAATGTACATGCATTCGCGCGATTCTCTCCTCTGGTAACGTTTCTCTATAATACTGTTACACAATCGAAATACACACACTGGGATAACTTTAAAAAAGTTTCGTCGAACTTTTCGTTCCAACCCATTTTCACATCGTCAAGTAGCTCGGTTTTCCTCCACGAGGTATGATATTATTGTAAGAAAATAGCATTGTTAGTCTCTTTATTCAGAAATAAGAATTTCAACTGGAACTGAGATAATCCTCCTCGAGTTTCCAATTGTTTCGATAATGTCCGTAAAATTGACGATGCAAGATCGTGCCTTTTTTCATTTTTATTTTCAGATAAGTATAGTATCGTGTTTAAAATTTATATTTCTCTAAAATTTCTCTCTGAAATTTGTTTACACTGAAATGGAATGTTTAAAATGTTTACGTTCCTGTTACACTGTTTGAAGAGTATAATTATTGTTATTTGTCAATTAAACGGAAATTGCACATATTTTGAAACGTTTCGTAATGGTAGTCGACCGGAAGTTTTATCCTTCTTTTATAGATTTTAAAATTTTTATTTTCTTCGTGCAAATGTTTTAACGAATATGAATTCTTTTAATATCATCTTCCGGGAAGAATTTTTATCGAAAACAAAAGAAACCGAGATTTCATTTCCATAAAACACGATACACTTCGCATCCGGTGAAATGTACCCGCGTAAAGAACGAAAGAATGAAACACTCCGTGACTTCGATTGCTTCGGCAAAAGTGAAAATCTTAGAACAATGAAAAATGAAATCCACAGCTTTCACGTCCAGCTCAACGAATCACACATTTCCAAGTGTATTCATTATTTCTTTTCCTTTCGTTGCTTTCAATTACACTTCGCTTTTCAACGAAATTCGACAGACTTGAGGGAAAGGTCTAATTGCCTCGAGAGAAAAAAACCAGCTAAAAATTGAAATGACGAAATGTACGAACCTCGTATATTCTAACTTCGACAAAAGAAGAAGAAGAAGAAGAAAAAAAGAGAGAGGAAGAAGGAAGAAAGTTTCAGAGAAAATCTAGTTGCCTTTTTTTTCGTTTTCAACGACGCCGTTCAAAGACGTCTCTCGTCGAAGAAACGCTTAAACATCGGGGATCGATAGAGGGGACTCTATGCATTTCTGTTTGTCGATTTTATTTGACGAGCTCTTACGTGCCTTGGGGTGAGTATTTCTAGACCAAAGTCCCTCGAAAGTAACTTCGTACTTCGCCTCATCGCAGGCACAGCATTCTTGCAGCACCGGTCCCTGATCGTCCGCCTCAGCTCTCGAGTCTTGACATATCTTCAGTACTAAGTTCGGATCATCCATGTACCATGTATCCGGCGTTTCCAATATCGTCGACCTATGAGAAAAACAAGTCGAAGGACACATGTTAGACCGGATTCACGTCTTCGTGATCGTGTTAATTCTAGATGTCTATGCTCACTGATGTAGACTCAGCTTTTCGTTTTTTTTAAAGTTACACAAAGGTGATCTAATTTTTTACGTATGTTAACCCTTTGCACTCGGAGGTGATTTTGCTGTAGAAAAGTTTGCGATCTTCGTTTGAAATATTTTCAAACTGACGAAGAAATAAAGTATACTGTTTTATTTAAATATTCAACGTACGTGTATTCTCTATTTCACAATTTATGGAGGCCCATAGATCTGTTCTCTGTCTTCGTTAATCATTCACCAAGTGACGATTATTTAATGTCGCTTCTCAGTCGACGCTCGATTGCAAAGGGTTAAATCGATAGCAATTGAACTGCATTCTTTGTTGGCAGATTACGTTTTTCGTATATTCTCCGTCACAAATATTGGGATTTTCTGGAAAGACTAAGAGGTTAAGGAGCGCTTCCGGAAGTGGAAGAATCGCTGGCAGAAGGTTGTGGCTTTCGGAGAGCGGTACTTTGAAGGCGATAACATCGCAATTCACACCAAGATTAATTCTTTCTTCTTGCGACAACATCGCTTGCGAAATTGATCGCTTTCCGTTATATTTCACGAGTACGTTCAATTTTCATGCTTGTTATTAAAATATCCCTTCACCTGATAAATATGCAACCGCTACCTTCGGAAGGGCTGGTCCAGGCCACAGAAATTTCCTCTTTGGGCACCTTCGAGGTCTCCACAACAGCGTTCGGGCAAATTTCAGAATACCTCGTTAACGATTCATCTTGAAGATCGAAAACGCCACTTTCCACCCCGTCCTCTTCGCTTTCGGGTTCAGCTGATATTAGAAACCTTGTGAATTTTCGTGGTATCACGCCGGTACTGTCTGCTTGCACAGTTACTGAAACAAAAAATTTGTTTAAAACGGTTTTTCTAATTTTTCTTCTTTTTTTTAATCGAGTTTTAACCCTCTCGATGGACATTCAACATCTTCTCTTTCGGCCGTATCGTTTTTTAAAATTTGTTTTGTTAAATTAAGACAGAAGAGTGCGAAGGACGAAATTAATGTATTCTGCAGTTATCAACATCAATTTACATTTTATACAAATTTATAAAGAACGATTCTGTGTTCTTAATTTCAGTGTTCGTTGAAACGCGCGAAAGATTTTCCAAATTTTCGTGGTTCCACTTTAATTAGTAAGAAACCCAAAATCGTTTCACCGCAATGGTTCAATGCACGACATTTTGTAATATCTTTTTCGAAACGGTTATACATAATGACGAATAAACAGCTTAATTTCACGAGAAGAAAATCCGAGTTATTCCGTCAACAGTTTGTTTTTTTTTTTTATTTTTGAACGAATATTCGTACGGTAATATGTTCTCCGTTTAATCGGGCGATCGCACGTTTCTCTCGCAAGGCAAAAAGCTACATAAATCAGCCGGCCAGGAAAATTACTTTATTGCTCACATCGCAGCAACATTGTAATACACCCTAAAATTACGCATACACTCGTTGTTGCAATGTTACACCACGTGTCTCGTATATATTGCTACTCATGGTTTACAAATATACCGTGAAATTTGTTAGATTTTTTTACATTTGCACGTCAGGACGAACAACTTTCCACGTGAAATTTGCGCGGAGCTGTTAAAAATAATTTTTCGCAATTTACAAGTTTGCAATTATAACTTGGAAAATACAGCTGACCTAAGTAGGCGTGAAATACGAATTTAGAAAATTTACTTTTTAAAAATTGCATAAATTTAATATCGGAGTTAAAGAGCTTTTAAGAATAATCTCTCTTTTACTAT